AGCAGTGTTCATTTTATACCTGTTTGTATATTATGTCTGCTTTTAAAACTGGCAAAAGTAAAAAATCTAAATGTTTTATGAATGCCTGAAGGCCCCCTATTAATATCCACATTGTGATATAGAGCAGTGCTGCCAAATAAACTTACACCATTAGCATCTATTGAGTTGTCTTGGCAACAGAAGAAGGAATCTCACCTCGCAGCATGACCATGCTGAATGCCTTGTTTGTGACTGATTACAGTTAGTTATCTGCTACCATGTATGAAATGTGTGGTGATTTCAGGATGGGATTTTCATTCTGGATATGTAGGATTTGCAGTCTCAGTCTTTTGAAAACATTATGCATAAACTGATTTGCTTTGCTGGACTCTGGCCATGCTCAGCTGCTTTTTGAAGTTTTACCATTGGTGGCCTCTCAAGAGTTTTACTACAGTAAAGCCTCTTTGAGGCCTCTCAGAGCCATTTTCATATTTTCCCCTTTCTATATTTCATGTAATTTTCCTTTGTGTAGAATGCAAATGCATACTGCAAAAAAAATGTTCAGTGCAGCTAAACATGCAGCTAAACATATTCTTTTCCTAGCTTCTCCTTCCCTGTTAAGATTATTAAAGCTGCTCTGAGTCTTAGCTTTTTACAGATATTTCAAAAATTATTGGGTGAGATAGACTTTGAAAACTTATAGGAGAGAGAGTGAGATCGATTTGTCTCTGAGTGGTTTCTTGCAGCAGTGTCAGCTGTTTAAACTGTAGTGTTCTACTATCAAAGAGTACTTCTCACCTTGTTGTTTTGCCCTTTCTTGGAGTTGTTTTTTCACAATTAATCATAGAATATCCTGCATTAGAAGGGGTGCACAGGACAGCCCCAAGAAACCACCATGTGCCTTATTGTCCAAGCACTCCTTGAACTCTGGCACATTTGGTGCTGCAACCACTTCCTGTCCTTTTTCTCTTCTTTTTCATGGTCCCAGGTGTCCAGTGTTCTAGTGAATAAAGAATCTGATAAACAAACATAAGCAAATTATGGAGGTCCTTGGAACAACAGGCTTCACTTCATTCCTTTTAAAAAAATAAATCTTATCATCCCCTGCATATTATATTTTGACAGAGGTAAGGCTCATGGGTAGAAGCAGTGATAGCTTTTGGATAGCAATAGCAAGGACAAACTACACCCTTCAGAAACATGGGCAATTATCATAACATCAGTCCCTCTCCTGGTAGTCTAAAAGACTGTAGTCCAGAAGTCAAAATTTCACTCACTCTGAATGTTAACACAAAGCAACAATAACCTCAGAGCTCCTCAGTACTGAAGGGGCATTACTCTGAGGTAAAGATCACAGAAATTGTCAAGTATGATTTACAACTTTCTCAAAAAGAGAAGGTGTGTAGTGAGAATTTTTACAGGTTCTCCAGACTTCATCCCTGTGGAGTTTCCAGGGTAAAGATGCATATCAGAAACACAAGTCAGTTCTCAGTTGTGGTAGTTCCTGGCTATGACAAGATTTCAGGATGCTTGGAAATACATTTGCAAGCACCTGACTCACTAGAAGCCCTGTTGAAGTTCTGTATTCTGACTGATTGTGTAACCCTAAGAAACCTTATTCGTTTTAAGTCCTACAAGGAGTAACTTTTCTTTCTGAGCAACACCCTGAAGGCATTATGTCTTGCAGACCATGCTAAAGAAATGAGCTGCCTGAAAAAAATAGTATCTCTTGTGCATATTACTGCTTTCTACAGAAATGGCACCCTGTGAAAAGAAAAATTGTTTGAGGAACTGATCCATCAGCATCCTTAATATCCTTGACAACTTCAAATAAAAAAACTCCAAAGGAGAACTTGATATTTGGTGCTTTACAATGTCTTTTTCCACTCGCTTAAAGAGGTCTCAGTGCAAATACTTTCAAATCAATGCTCAGGACAGCCTCTTAAAATGTGCTAGAATTAGAGCATTGCCATTGTGATACAATCTTACAGTCAAAGAGATGAAAATACAGCTTCTCACCCATTGTAGACCATACAAAATAAGGAACTGATGATTTACCTTACAGTTGGCTACTTGCTGCCTTTAGGACACATAGCATGTTTAGAATAATAGATCTTTTCTTATCTCTAAGGAGGACTAAGAATTTTTTTTTTTTTTTTTTTTTTTTTTTTTTTAAAATTTTTTTTTTTTTTTTTTTTTTTTTTTTTTTTTTTTTTTTTTTTTTTTTGTTACAATAAAAAGCACCAGTCAGTATAGTCTATCCAGTCCAGATCTTTCCTTCAGTTCCTTTGTGCCCCTTTCCCTGAGTCTGAGGTCAGAAGTCAGTTTTTAATTTGTGGTTGGATTTTTTTTCCTCCCTATTTATCTGGAACACCCTTTTTCTTTATTCACCCCAAGACAATAAATCACCTTTTCTTTTTATCTCTCTCCACAAAAATTTCACTTTTCTCCTTAAGTTATAATTGGCTCTCTTGCTGTATGGCTCACTGTGATACTTATCTAAGGAAAGTTATATAATGAAGAGCATGGAAAAGACATCCTTACTTCTTAAAAACTTTTCTGAGCCTGGAGCTGCCTTGGCAGTATGTCAGAAAAATTACTCTTGTGTTTATGTTTCCAAAAGAGTGTCAGGAAGAAGAAACCAGTCATCTCATGTCTGAATTGTTTAAAAAGAATGCTGCTGTTCCTGGTTGCTATACTATCCACCCATGTCATGAATATGGTCATTAGAAGAGTTCTTATGGAAAAAGAGTCCCATGCTCATTGTTTGAATTTCACACAAGAAACCAATAAATCACCATTCTGGCAACAGTGTTCACAGGAAGCAAGGAAGCACAGCCAGTCCCTTTTGCTACAGACATGTTCTTTCCTCAGAGCTGTGTCACCTCTTCCTTGGACACTTGGAGAGCTCATCTGTAGTGTTTCAGCTATGGCTGGTTGGTTTCCTTACCAAAATGAGTTATCTGCATCATATTTTGTTCTTTTCATATACCCTGAGCCATAGCATGATTTCAGAAGATTGTACAAGGGGATGTGGCAGTGGCAGGTGCTTGATTTGTGTCTCACTTTGGTGGCAAAAGGCATTGGTCACTCATTTACCCACATGTTGTGCCTTTAAGAGTGGTGTTGTGAAGTAGATCAAGAGGTGCTTGTGGCTGAAAAATCATTGTGAAAGAGAAAGATTTCTCTGTAGCTGGATTAGTTCCCATGGCTCTATAAATGCTTTTGCTGTGGGGGTTCCAGAAAGCCCATATGAGTATGAGAGGCAGTGAGGCAGCTGTTTCATGGATCATAAAATCATAGGATGGTTTGGGTTGGAAGGGACCTTAAAGATCATCTCATTCCAAACCCCTGGATGGGCAGGGCCATCTTCCACTAGACCAGCTTCCCAGAGCTCCAACCAGCCTGGCCTTGAGCACTTCCAGGGTTGGGCATCCACAGCTTTTCTGGGCAACCTGTTCCAGTGCTCACCACCCTCACAGGGAAGAATTTCTCTCCCATGTCCAATGTAAAGCTGCCCTCAGTCAGTTGAAGCCATTCCCCTTCATCCTATCTCTGCATGCTCCTGAAGGCAGTTTAGGTAGTCCTGATGCAGTGTGTTCTGCAACCTGGCATGGCAGTAGGGATCTCTACATTTTTCAGAGAAGAGAGTCAGAGGTCATTACAGGGCTTTCTTAATTAATGCCTAGGTAATATTCACTGTAATTTTTCCCCCCACAGTGTTTTCTGGTTTAGTGCATCTACAGACAGGAACTGAAATTGTCAGTGCATTAATTCATTGGCTCTCATCAATCTCTGGCCTGTATATCCATGGGTATCCCTCAGATGTACCTGTATTCTGAGTATTTATTTGCAGCTACCTTTCAGAGTGGCAAGTGGTAGGGCATGTGATCCACACAGAGCATCCCAGAGGATGTTCCCAGTCACTCATCTGTGTGTCCCTCAACGCAGCGTGGCCAGATCTGTGAAAGACTGCTGATGTTCATGGGCAGGGCCCAGGAGTTTATAAGGCTGATAATTATTACTCATAGCCAGAGGAAGCTGTAAAAGTTGATCTCCCTTACATGAGGGTGAATGCACTCCTTTAGGCAGAGAGGAGAGCACTCCCTCTGCTGCACTGCAGTAATTACACTTTCTCTGCACTCGCTGTTGCCTACCAAAGATAAATAGCAACAGCAAATTTGCAGTTTGTTCACACAGTCTGGGGTCTGGGGAGGTCAAAACACCTAAAGCCATTATCAAACCCTGAAGCACCTCTGCAGATCCTGTGTGTTATTCTGGAAGTTTTGAAGAAATCCTGAAGCCTCTTTCCCTCTCACTTAACGAACAGCAACAACAGAAAATCTAAACAAAATCTTTGCAAATTTTCCATAAAAAATATTTGCATATCTTAATTTTGACAAAAGGTTATGTGCTTTTGACCAGGAGGACAACATACTTCTAGACTCCCTGCTGTCCTATTTCTTACACTCACAACAAACTCATACTAATTTACAGTGGAAAAGAATGCTTCATTGATATATAATACATACTAAAGACAATCTCATCTTCAGAATTCTTATAATGTGTGCATATATTTGATATAATTCAATCTTCTGCCTTCTTTTGTAAAAACAAAGGGCAAAAGGGACCGTGGTTATTGCCTGTATATAGCCTGGTCAAAACCATATGCAACATCAATGAGCTACACATTACTGGCTTCCACTGTGCAAGTGAAATGTTGCCTCGTAAGGGACACATTAGGTCTGCAAGGACAGGACTTTCTCAGAGTGTAAATGGCTTATTTTTCACCTCATTGGCACTATTTCTAAGTGGTCACTGCCACTCAGAAACTAGACAGCTGAAAAAAAGTGTCAAAACAAGCGAAGATTATGTGATTGCTGGAATCCAGGCAATGCCCTAAGACAAGTGTTTGCAAAATATCATCATTAGTAAGAAATTCTATGAGAAAAAAGTCAACTTAAAATTGAAAAAAAAATAGCAAAGCTTGTTAAAAATACAAATGTTCAGTTTATGTTCTTGCTTGTCTTTTAATGCTTATAACTCGACTTGAGCCAAAGGGCTGAAAGATAAAAGTGTCACAGAAATACATTTTTAGACAGTTCTGATATTACTGTTCTGCCTGTGCTAAGTATGTTTCTCATCCTACAAAAAATAATGTTGTAGATGGACTTGCAGATTCTACATGCATTTTAGAGTATTATATACAACACAGACTCATGATGCTCACCTGTAAATATATTTTGTGAGTTGAATCATCTGCACAGACCACAAGTTGTTCCCTATCTTAGGGAGCCAAAGTCACGCAGTCAATAAATCAATCAATGAAGGTAACAATTTCCACATCTCTAAAATGATCTCTTCCCTCCTAGATCCCCATGTTCATTTGGTCAAAAAAAAACCCAAAAGTGAGTTCGTCTACCTGTTCTAAGCAGAAATCTACTCCAAAGTCTCTCTGGGGCCAACTCTTTATTCAGAAAAAATCTGCATGGGGCAAAGAAAATAGAAATGGGCAGAAAAAAAGCACAGCAAAGCAGTGGCTGGCTTTCACAACTATTCTGAAATACTTGTGAAAGTTTTCATCATCTTCCTCATATGTTCAGACCTTATACTAGAGAGTTATAGAGTTGATGACCAACCTCATTTTAGCCATCTGCACTTTGTAAAAGTTCTTTGGTCACACTTTCCATCCTTCTGAAGAATTTCCACAGGACAATGTGGGGATTTTTCATCCAACAGCTGCAAAATGGGAGGACAGAAGGAAAGTTCATTTCCACAGAGATCTTAAGATTATTATGGTAAATCAGTTTTGAGTCTTTGTATGCTCTAAAGTTCAAGATTATTCTGAATATTAATTATATTCCGGGTACAAGTGAGAAGAACTGTATTTGTCTTCTTAACAGGGTTTGAGAAAGAAAATATAAAAAGGTCTCTTCCTAATGCCAAAGAGCCAAGTACCTCAGGTACTGTGTATGAAACAAGAATATGGTTTCATGCATTTAAAAAACCCAAGAAACAGGGATGTAAGGAAAAATATATTTATTTCTGGTTTTTGACTAGTTTAATGCTTGTACATAAATATTGCATATGTCCCCTCAAGTTCTCTTTTTTGTTTATCACAACTTTAATCATGTTGCATTTGTATCACTCTTCTCCAGCAGAGGGCTTAATACAGTCAGTCAGTTTGAGAAATGTAATTTCAACATCAGTAGAACATGTTCCTATTATAAGCTTTCTACTCAAAGCACAATGTAACATTTGTGAATTAAAAAAAAAACAAAACTAATGTTTATTCACTGCATGATATTTTCTGGATGTTCTGGAAATTCAGTAATCAACTGTCTCTTTAGTAGTATGATAAGCATAACATCAAATCATTATTGCATCATTCTGTTTCTTCCTCACAGTTACTCTTTCATTGCTAAATGATTTTTTTCTTAGCCCAATTCTTACTAATATATGCAGAAAGGTACCTACACAAAAAAAGATTTCTATGTGGGCAGAACAGTGTGTGCCCCAAGATTAGTGCAGTCGGGGAAAATACATGATTGTGTATATATCTAAGTACACTCATACATGTATATACACATGTAGGTATGAATAAATACAAGAGAATTGATGTTTAGCTACAGTTTTTTTCAAAGAATCACTGTTGTTTACAAAGGTTTGTTATTCTTTAAGGAGGCACTATATTTTTGCTGCTCTACATGATGCATTTTTAATGTTGATTAGCTACAATAATATGGTGTTAAGTGACACTGGGTTTTGTGTGTGAGCATGCACTACTGTTTTGTGACTGCATGCACTGTTTCCTTCTACTTTGGCTTTGGATTATTTAGTAAAATATTTTAATTGCTTGCTTGCAAACCAATGGAATAAGCTTAAGAAGGTTATTTTACTGTTTGCCATGAAACTAATAGTTCAAGGAAGATGTAAATGTGGCATTTAGTATTAGGACACTTTTATTAAGTATGTTTACTTCTTAGGGAAAATTAACAAATATCATACTCAAAATCAAGATGACTTTGTACTAAAAGGAAACTAGAGATATCAAAACTACCTTCAAAGTCAGATTTTTGATGATTGTTTGCTCTATTAATTAGCTCCATTTGGATTTCTTTTTCATAGAAGTTCCAATAGATAGTGTCCAATACCTGATAATGTTACCCAGCTACTTAAACATTTGTGACTTTCAGAGCTGTTTACCTTATATCCAGCAAGCCCAGAGAGTGCAGCCCCAGGGAGATCTGCAGAATCCTGCTGCTGATATTTAGCCCAAAATCCCCTCCTTTCTGCTTCCCCTTCAGACACTTGTGGATACCCTCGGGTTCAATTGCATTTGCAAGGCTGAGGCATTCCTCACTTTTCAAAGTAGGCTTTCTGTTTTCTTATTGAGGATTCCTGTTTTGCAAGAAAATAAAAGAAAAGTAATGAAAAATAATTTAATACAGATCAGCATCACAATCGTCTTTAAGGTTGGGACTAGTATATCAAGTGATTGTTACTGCACTATTTTATAAGCAGATACAAACCGAGATCTGTCTGACTTAAATTTTGTAACAATTTCTTACAGTATCTTGTAAAAGCAGAAATAGCGAAGCCAGCAGTGAAGTCTTATAACAAGAAGCTAAATAATTATTGACTTTGTCTTATATCCTTCAACTCTTTCCAGAAGTAGGATAGATGATTTCTCTTTTTTAGCAGAGTCTGGACATTGATTTTATTTTACTTTTTTATTTTACTTTTTTTTTCTTTTTTTGTTCTTTTAATAATAAAAATGGAGAGCTGATTGCCAATTCCAGTTTTCAGTTCATGGTACAAATAATCTTGATCTTAAATGAGCAATTGGCGAAAATGCTGACACTGCCCAGGACAGGGGGAGAAATGCTGGTGTCAGCAAGCCAGGTTCTCACACACCACTTTGCAAAGGGTGAAGTGGTGCAGAATGCAGCATGGTTTTAGAAAGAGGATTTGGTAGGTTCAACTTCCTTATGAAACTGTGTGTTTCAAACTTCCTGTGTAAGGCATTATGAGTATATCATTCCTTCTCTGGTTTCCAGAAGAGTCATTCAGGGCTTTTTTTATATAGCAAATAAACACTAGCTAATAGCTGTGCTTTCTCCTAAGCTGTACAGCTCAGGTTATGAAAGATATATGACTTGGATTAAAACTACAGTATCAAATATTCAGAATTTATCAGGAGAAGACATATTTAAAAGTAATATATATTGTGCTTATTTAGGGGAAAAAAAAAAGAGATTACATCTGTTGCTGTTCTTCACATGTTTTGAGAATTCTTAGTGTTGAAACAAAAATAAGTGATGCATCATGAATAAAAAAGGCATTCAATGATTTTCATGGTATCAAAGTAAAGACAATAAAAGAAAATAGGCTTGGAACAAATTAAAGAACAAACCTTTTCATGCAGCATACAGATATACTCTGAAACTTATTATCATAAATTATAGACATCTCAAAATGTATCTAAAAAGGCAAATTGGACAAATTCATGGAGGACAGTCCTGTTGATGTCTGTTTCAGCTGATGATCCAGACAGAAGTTTATCATAAACTGCTGATTTCTGTGCTATTAAGAGAAAAACAATAAATGCCATTGCTCCAACACTCCATCACTGAATATACTTTACGTTCTTGGGGCAAAGCTAACATCAATAAATAATTTTCCATACATAATCATTAAAATTATTTAGTTATGGAAATTAAACCAGTTTCTAGAAATGCAGAAAGAGCAGAACCTGGAGCTCTTTGGATGCTTCCAAAGTAGAGCTAAGTAGCATCATTCATGATTTTATAATTGAGGCATAAGCATCTTTCTGTGATAAATATGCAGCAGTTTTGACTTCAGGGATAAAACCTGCAGGGATATGTTCATATGTACAACAGCAAAAGGATTTACAGCAATGAGAAAGCACTGAAAAAAAATATCAAGTTCTTGATAACTTGTGTAGTTAAAAGATCTTCAAAATGTTCTTTGAAATATCTAAGAATGAACCATTGTCAGGTCTAGTGTCTTTTAGCTGGTGGAAATTTCAACAGAAGATTTTGGAGATGTGTGTGTGTTTATGTGCTGGAGAGCAATATTGTACAAAACAAGACAAGCATAGGTTACTCACCATCAGGATAATATGGGGAAAAACAGAAAAATATTTGTCTTTGCCTTTTAAGGGACCTCATAACTGTCTCCCACACATTGTCAGTGCTCAGCCCAAGTTTCTGAATGTCCACCTCTGTGAACTTGGAGCAAGTCAGCACTGAGGATCCATGTGCAGGCAGGCAGCACTCTGGCAAGCATCAGTACAAAGATGCTGTGGAAAGGTTTGGGTGTTTCCTCTGTTTCATTTGATTTTCACTGCACGTCACTATGACGAGAGACGAACAAAGAAAGATTTTTGGGAGGTGGGCATTGCTCTGGGGAGGGTGGGGAGGTGTCCCCAGGTGGAGCAGTGGCCTGAAGGAGCCCTCATTCCTCATTCCTGAGCATCTCCTCGGCTCACAAAACAAACCGTGGTGTCAGGATTAAGTTTCTAATGGCACTGAAAGATAAATAGGCACAAAATAGACTGAATTCAGCCTCTTGTTCTGAGACAGAACATGAAATTATGATTCCCAAACCTCATCAGCACAAAGCATATCTTCGGCCAATAAAGAATATAAAACATATGAGCTGGATTTCTCAATGTTAAAAACAGCTGCCAGCCAAAAATACTGTAATGATGTCCCTTTCTACCATGGCGTCTGCATCAGGGGGAATTATTTTGTGGAGTGGATACTAAAATCAAAAATATTATTAAGTCTTTGCTGGAGAATTGTGGGAATCCACAGATTCTGACAGAGAATTTTTTTTTATCCCTTCTCCATTTGCTAACAATATGCCAATAAAAAATAGCACAGCACAACAAAATGTAGATGTAAGTCAGTTTGAGATGAAAATATACAGCAAGATAAAACAAGAATTGATCTGAGTCACAAAATATAGAGGACAGCTTGAATCATTCCGAGTTTAAAAATACATCTGTCTTCAATATCTGTCTCTTCCCTTTCTCACATCATCAGAGGCTAGATGTGAAAATAAAATACACTTGTATGGCATAAAAATCTCTTCTTGATATCTTTCCAAACTCCCCTTAAAAATTCTTTTAAATGTTTGACCTTATGTTTGACACGGCTTCTGTCACTGGCCTCGATGGCGAGCACCCGAGTGACTGAGCAGGTGCTCAGCAGAGGAAACCCTCTGGAGAAAGGACACACCTCTGAATGAGCCCAGCTCAGAAGAGACAGCCACATGAGCTGATGCCTTGGAAAGTCCTGGGCTGTAAATGCCTCAAAAACATCCAAACCCCTGAACCTTTGTAAACTTCTTTCAGGATGTCTTATTCAAGGAGTCTGGGCCAAGCTGAACTCTGTATGATGGGGTGTCATGGGATTCATGGATTTGTTGTTTTAGTTTTAGGGGTTGCTGTTTTACCTTGCTACCTTCTAATGCAAGTGGAACAAATTTGTTTTCAAAAAAAAATAAAAACAACCCTGTTCTGTCAATTTAGTTTCACAGATGTTTCCATTTCTAAGCAGAAGCCCTTGATGGTGCTGAAAGTTACTCAGCATTGCTGTAATTTGCATAACATTAGCCATGATGTTTTTATTTTGAAAAGTTGAAATGTTTGCAGCTCATCATAGCACAGTTCTAATGGTGTTCAGTACATCTGCTTAAAAAAAATGTTGTGCCTAGGCAATGCTCTACCCCACAAATGTTTTTTATGACTGTTACTGACTTTCAAGGTTTTCAGTAGAGATAGAATTAAAGCTTCTGCTTTATGTACACACAAATTAGGAAATAATGAGTGGGTAACAAAGCTAAGTTGTATGTTCCATACTGCAGCTGTATCCTTACATCTGCCACTAGAGCTTCCTGCAGCATTATGCAGACACCTCACGGACTTTGTTTGGATACACTCATAAAATTAATGTCTCTTTTTGTAGGTGGCAAAGTCAGCTAAACAGGTGTAACAGGAAATTGAAATAGGGAGTAGAAGCAATGATAGCAAGTAAAACACATCAGTAATGGAATCATTGCTTCAAGTCTTTATTCTTTCTCTTTCTACCCCTTAACATCCCTGCAAATAGGTAACTACTCTTGACTTGATGTTAAACTGGATCCTAGTTAAAAGCAAGAAAAGAACACAGATTTCAGAGATGAGCTTTGGTTAGCACAGATGGAATATAATGTTCATCTGCAGCTTTCTCCCCTGGCTTGGTTTTGCTCTTCTTTCTAAGTTGAGACCTCCCAAATGAAGCTTAAGTCCTTTATATGTGTCAAGGTGCATCAGGCTGCCTTTTAAATTAGCAGAAAATTTTATAATAAAGGACTCCATTTCTGTGAACAAGCAGAAAGTTCAAGACTTGAGATCAGGGGTTTTCCTGACAAACATCTTTGATACTTGTTCTCAAAATCCTGATGAGCTTCTTCCCATCTTAATTTCCACTCTTTTTTATTATAAGTTTTCTTTTTTTTTTTTCCCAGCTTGCTTTTTAAAACTGCTTTCTTCAAGTGCCTTTCACTTGATGTAGCAACTTCCTTAGGGCTTCCTCAATCACTTTAAGAGAGCCTTTCTCTTCCTACCTGCCACAGTCCAAGTTCCTGTTCAGACACACAGCACTAGCTTCTTTAGTATGTAACTCTTTCCAGTTGCATTTGTTTATGAGCTCCTGAGGCAGAAAATTGCTGTGTGCTGGCAAAGCACACACTGCATGTACCACACAAGGAAAATTCAAAAATAAACATATCAGCCTCCTTAAAATCTGACACATCTATATGGGTTTGAAAGACAGTAATCAGAAGTGCATCAGTGTAGTGTTTGTGCACATATTTTTATGTTCTTGATGAAATTACTAGATAAATAACACATGATTAAACCAAGCCGAGTGTGAATCAGGACGTTCAAAATTTAAAATCACTCCATTAACCTAGAAGAATTTCATTCACAGCCCCTCTCAAATGAGAAGCGAACAAAAAAAAAGAACTCTTTCAACTTCTTGTTATATCAGCCATATATTTTACTAATCTCTAGCTTTCCAGGCATTCCATAGCCCTGAAACTACGAGCAGTTATACAGAAGAACAGTTGTATGTTTTTAATGATGTCATTTGCTCGCAGTGCGATACCAATTAGGCAGCTCTTGGCCATTCAAACCCCAGCAAGGAAGTGCTGGCTTACCATCCAGCAGTCTAAAACAAAGATGTTTTATAAATATAAAAAGAGAAAATAAGGTCCAAGGCAACACTGAACGTATAACTCAGCAGCTTTTAACTGTTCCTCAGGATATGCTTACCAATGGCATGCTAATAACCAAATGTGAGTTTGTAGGCAG